ATCCCAAGGAATGGCATCGCTGAGATAGAGCCATAAAACGCCGTGAATATTTTAAGCTTGACGATACGAATCGACTGGTATGTAACATGTTTACCTCGGGTAAAATTTTAAAATTACTTTTTGTTAGGTCAAATTATAGTTCATTTATCGCATTATGATGAGAGAAATACTATATCCCGGAAAAATAAACGTAATACCGCTGAGCTTAGGTTGAATCTGAAATCATTACTTAGGAAGAGTTATAAAAGAACCGACGAACGTGTCTTTTTTGGTCATTAAATATCAGTAGGTATGCCGCCCCCTCAGATGCCAAGTGCCGCCCCTATGAGTGCAAAATGCCGCCCCTAATTGTGATTGCCGACCCAGTGAAAATCCCTTAAAATACGCCCTGGTGCAAACTACAACTTTCTAGCTCGCAGGTGTTAGCCGGAAATGAGGTCAAAGTGATGTCATATCGGCCGATTTTGATGCAAAACATTGAACTACGGTAGTCGCTTTCAAAAGCTCAGTTTTTAAGCTACATCCAATTCATGTATATGAGTAGAATGAGAATACGCGTGGCTATCAAACTGCTATCTCGTGTTTTCAAAACTTTTAAAATTTTTGAAAAGGTTTTACACAATTACAAAAAAAAAATGTTTTCCAAAACTTTAGGACTTTTCGCAAAAAACGGAATATTTGTAATAGTACACCCACCGATGACCTACTAGGAATGTTTTAATCCAGTATCTTCAAAACTGGCTGAGTTATACGCATTAAGGCCGCCCCACACTGGAACTCGCATGCGGGTTGCGGGTTTGCGGGTTTTGAGTTTGCGGGCATAATGTTAATTCAGAGAGTGATTAGCCCGTTTCCTTATGGTAACTTCATGAATGAAGTGAAGGCGGTACACCTTCAGAAACTTACATATAGTCGCAATAACAGCGAAACGAACCAAAATTCGACTCTAACGAAAAACCTGCAAACCTCGCAGAACTCGCAGACCTCGCAGCGGGGAAAATCGAAAGTTGACTCAAAATCAACTTTTGGAAAGCAATGCAAGGTCGCTCGCAAGCTAAAAGCATGCAGACTCGCTTGTTTTATGGTAGTGTGGGTCACTCAGTCTAGATTGTATTATTTGACTTTGAAGAAACCCGAAAACCCAAAACTCGCAACCCGCATGCGAGGTCCAGTAGGGGGCGGCCTTTATGGTCACAATTTCACATTTTGTTCAAATCCATTTGTTCAGCATGTTTTTGACACCGTACAGTAATATAAATAGTACCATCGTGTTCCTGAGGTCAAACTGCATCTGATATACATTTTTGTTGAAAAACATCGTTCATCGTTCATAATTTGACCTTTTTTGACCTGAAAGTAACCTGAAAGTGCTGAAAATGACCTCAAATGACTAAGACGACACTGTTTTCGAAATCTATAAATGAAATGGACGATAAAACATGTGTCACGTGACCGATACATGACAAAAATTGGGTTCATGTGCTGACCCTTGGTGACCTGACCTGTGACCTGACCTGGTGTTATCAGTGACCTCTTATAGCAACATATGCACTAGGCAACTGACGCCTTATCGCTGATTTTCGATAAAATGAGTTTTATTCGCTGTTATAGCGCATTCCCTAGAAGACCTGTGACCGGCAAAACATTTTATCTTTGACCTGACCTGTGACGTCATCGGTGACCCCGAGGTCAATGAAATTGGACTTCCTTCGACAAATTTGACTGGGCTTTCCAATGCCGTTTGCCGCGTTGGATTAGCCGGCGCCGTTTGCCGTGGGTCGCGTTATAAACAGACCCCACCAGGGAGCGGGTTAACAAAGTTTAAAATGATAAATTCATATTGATTATTCAAATGGTTTTGTGATTTTCCAAAAATACTCGGCAACACAGCGACCGTTTTCGTTGTTGGTAAGGGGCTACCATTTGGTTGAGGGGCCCACTTTGCTGGGGGGGGGGGGGCACCGCAAACGTCTCTCACCCCTGTCGCCAGAGTTCTGGCTGCACCACTGCAAGAGCGCGTACCAAAAATGAGCCTGATCGGGCGTGTTAGCCGGCGGCCAGAGCCTAAATTGTAAACAAGCAAAAATGCTGAAAATTTTACTTTGAACTTCCCTTGGACGTCGAGGTCAATGAAAATAGGTTTTGATCGACAGTTTGTCCAGGGCTATCAGCCACTGTTTGAATTTTGACAATCGGCCCAGAAGTTTCCCCCCACGACAACCGCGTTATAAAAAAATACCCCAGTCATGCGCGGGTTAACAAAGTGCAACAGTGTCTGGCAGCAACAAGGGTTCCCGGGCCTCCATGGCTTACACTAAAAATAATGAAAAGTGGCATAAAGAATTATCCATAACAAGCCTATGTCCAACTCCCATCCTACCAATAAGGCGATGTCCCATTTACGTCTCACCAACAGGCTTCTGTTCACTCCCGTGCCAGCCATGGGCAAATACGGCCAGTGGCGCACCCAAAGGGCGGCTCGGGGCCCACCCCCCCCCCCCCGCTCGGGCATTTTTAGGAGGCCCCCTGAACACCACTTCGGGTACTTTCAGGGGCTCCGCCACGGTTTTGGGATTGGGGGGTCCGACCCAAAACATAAAACCTCGCTGGCGGATCCATGGTGGGCATATTGGGCGAATTAACCCCCCCCCCCCTCCCTGCAGCTCCCGAAATCGATGAAAAAATTCCGTTTTATCTAGAGTTCATAGAAAACTTAGTAATTTTATCGGGAGAATTTTGCTTCAAACCGAAAAACCAAGGTTCAATTTGCACAAGGAATCGAAAACCGAGAAGCGGAGCCCATTAACACCGACATGGTGGCCTCTCAAATCAACGTTCTTGAGGAATGGAGGCCGCTGTTTCGCGCTCCAAGGGCGGTGTTAGCCATCAGACAGCGCATTAGGCTCTCAGTGACTTGCATGGGCTTTGGAATTCAGGGACCTTCATAGGCGCTCAAATATTTATGTAGGCTCTTAGGCCAGCGTCGGGTCCTCCAAGGCCGTAGTTAAAGGAAAGCGCAAGGCTTTAGGAGTCGTAGGGATTTGAAAACCCTGCCCTCATATAGCAGTAGGGGAGAGTGGGGAAAGATGCCCAGGGTTTTGCTATGTCATATATTATTCGAAAATGACGATGGGAAAGCAAAAACTTGGAGTTTCAACGGAAGCCAACATCATTTTTCTCCAAAAATATCACACTTTCGTGCCTGAAATATAATAACTTTTTTTGCTATTAAGCATTTTCCTGAAGAAGTGAAAGGGGGCATCTTACCCCACAGGGCGGGAAAGACGCCCCCTGATGTTGGGAAAGATGCCCCCTGCACTATAAGTGACATAAATTGGCACGTGAATCGCCTGAACGAATCAGTAGTCCCTTCGAGCCTGCAGTAGACACCAAACGTCATCATAAGGGCCCTAACAAAGTAGTCGTAAGGGGCTTCAGAGGTCATCGTTAGGGCCATCATAGTCCAGCGCGGCCAAACAAGCCTCCGTGGTGGCGTTCGGAGACCACTGTGGGGCTCTTATAGGTCTTCATGATGCTTGAGGGCCCTCTAGCCCATCGTGGGGACCTCCGATGCCAGCGCGACCCGTGGGGCCAACGTGGGAGCCCTCAAAGGATGTCGTGAGGTGCCCTGGAGCCAATAATGGGGCCCACAGAGGCCGTCGTGAGGGCTCTCAGAGTCAGATGCCGCCCAAAAAGTCGCTATGTGTGCCGAGAGACCGGCATGGGGAGCACCCGACCGTACTGGACTCTCAATAGTCCCAGATCGGCTTTTGTCTACATCACAAGTATGTAATAAGTGATTTGACGGGCTGTTTGAAGGACAGCCTACGGATTTAGGGGGGGGGGGCGTCTTTCCTCATCAGGACAGGGGGCATCTTACCCCAAGGTACCGAACTAACATTAAATCAGTACAATTTGTTAGCCATAAAACTACACCCTGAAACAAACTGTTTGGGACACAGTACACGCATGCTAATGTATCACGACTATAGCAAGGGACGCAAAAATTATTTACCTTCTTTGATATTTACAATGTTTTGACACCAAAATATTTTTTGAAAGCAGCAAATAAAAAACATGCAATCATCAGTCAGCCGTTGCCCAACTGAGCCTCGCAATTTTTGTGCAGTTAACAAGGCAGGCTTCCGCTTTACGCTAAGAACATTAATTTCCAGGTCCGATTCTTTGTTTCGCCGCTAGAGGGGGTGGGGCGTCTTTCCCACCCTGGGCATCTTACCCCACTCTCCCCTATAGGGTCCTTAAAGGGACCCTCCCACCTTAACATTAGATTTGAGTTGAGATAGCCGAAATGGGGTCCCTGGCTCACAATTACCGGTTTCGGCACTCACAACACCGAGAAATGCCTTAAATCGGAAATATTGAATTTCAAAATTGCAGCATTTTGATTCAGAGGGGCTAATGCTGAGGAATACCCCTCTGAATGTGTGACGTCAGCGCAAATATCTAACGATTTTTTAATGTTTGACTAAAACGTTTTGCAGCACGCGGTGGTATATGCTATTTGCGCGCAACATCTGCCGCAAACGCCGCACTTCTAAAATAAAGTCGCTGGAAACAGCGGAGATCCCAAAAAAGTAAACAAAAGTAAAAGTCTAATATCTTGAAAACTGGTGAATATTTTTCGGTGAAATTTGGTAGATATTCGTTTTCGCTCTTTCTGAACCGAGCGACATCACTTTCATGCCAATTCATAAACTTTTGTGAAGGTGGGAGGGTCCCTTTAAAGACTGACACTCAGTCTCTGTGATCAGGGTGTGACCTGCCTTAACCTGAAAATGGATATCAAAATGCTGCCCTTGAATCAAAGGTCAGGTTATGGGGATCCTGTAAAGGCCGGGCTCCACTACGCGTTTTTTCCGTGCGTTTTATCCGAGACATCGGTTTTTGCGTGAAATCGTTCCCGAAAAAAAAGTTCCCGTCGTAGCTCAACATTGGGCAAGCTACACTGGGAACGATGTCACGCAAAACACGACAACTTGCAAATTCCGTACCGATTTTAAGGAAATCTCGGTAAAACGCATGACGGTTTCACGCAAACTCGGAAATCTCGTACCTATAAAAAGTTCAATTATTTGAACTTTTCATCGTCTTCTGCGGTGATCTCGGCCGGGAGACATGACTTGCGCGCTGCGGCAAATGTGAATTTGTGTAAACAAACAACGCAATTTTGTGTTTGGCTCTTGACAATAGGTGCAAGTTGTTAATTGTGTGCAGGTTAGGAAGTTTGTGTGCAAGTTTTTTTAGTATAAAGAAGATGAGTGAAGGTAAGAAATGATCCATCAAGCAACCCCACATTTTTTTGTGCTAAAGGCAGTGTCAATGCAGGGGAAAATAGTTGCAATTCAAATGGAAATTGGTGCAGTACCTAAGTGATGGGTTGGTTTGATAGGTATTGAATGAACTAGCTATATTAGTGGACCTAGCCCAAAGGCCGGAGTTGGAGGGGCCAAGCGTCAAAATAATTCATTTTCATCCATGCATTGCAGTGACCCATAAGTATATTTTTGCTTGGGTTCGGGAAAACTGCTAACCAAAAGGGGATGAGACTGAGAGTGCAAAATGTCAGTCAGATAAGGCCTAAAAAAGTGAGAAAGGATCAAAACCAGTTATGATATATCAACAATTCAAATTGTGGCAGACAGAAGGGTGCAAACCAACCATCCACGCAGTTGCTCTTTCTCAGTGGAATTGGGAGTGGAAAATTGGTCTTGAAAATTGGAAGTGAGACTGGAAAATGATTTTTATTTGGATGCCATTTCCCACCCAAATTGACAAATTTTGTGACACTGGCTATAGGCATAATGTTAGAAATAAAAAACCTTGCTCTCTGCAGCCGCCAGTGGCTAGCTATGAGACAAGTCATATATTTAAGCATGTCAATTTATCATGGGTGCAAGGTGAGCAACATGTGCAAGACAGTTGTATCAAAGTCTGCTCAATTTTGTCAGTTTTCCCTTCATGTACTGTATTTCCCATTTCACTTGATTGCTGAGGTGTATAATAGTTTTCTGATCATAGGTGTTGCCCAAATTTGGACATTAACATTGCTGTGACATAATGATAAGAATTAACGGAAAATGTTTATTTGTAACAAAAATAGGAAACATTTTAAGCATATTCCACCTTTTCTGTGAATTTCATAGCGTGCCTTACTGATCACTCAGGTCAGCATTGCAAATATGGAATCTGAAAGGTGGGACGTTTCCATGACTCTGGCAGAGGGCTCAAAGCCTGCAGTCTGCAGTTCAAAGGCTGCAGTCTGCACATCATTTGACATGTGTTGATGTAGTAAGACAGCTTGCAACTGGTGAGAGAGTGTCGTGCTAGACCCAGAAGGACCGTGCTGCCATCTACCTGCTGTAACATGAATTGGGTGTGGTTGAAGATTGATTAGTGGTTCCATGTTGCTATGCAACAACCTCTGATTAGCGGGCACCTGGGCTCACAGCCACCCACTAACCCTTCAGACAAAATTTATAAAAGTATGGTTTGCTTTTTATTAAATGTACTTACTAAACACCTTCTTTATAGGCTCAGAATAAACAATATTTAAAGTTAGAAGCATGATTTTCCAAGGGCCCTGCTCAATGCCAACTGCTACAGCTTCATGGCTGGAAGGGAACATGTACTCTTTGTTTTGAGTCTTTTCATACCATGAGAGGCCCGCCCCTCGATAAAGCAGCTTGTGCAGGCTGTTTATTGTCTTTCAGGCACCAATATAACAAGTAACAACAACATAATACATGAGCACCTAGTGCATGTGGGCTGCTCTAAAGCCAGTAATGAACAAGCTGTTCTATTTGACATCACATGGATGTTGTCACATCATAATCTATCATAATGCTTGCATGTGAGATCAGCAGTATCACAATTTGATAGTGGCTGGTAGGATTGACACCAAACCTGGCCACATTGAACTTGTTTACTACACTTTGTGCATGATATTCCATTGTTCATTTTCTAATGTAAAATGGACAAGGAAATAGGAAGGGGTAAAGAGTGTAAACCTTTTGTTGTTGTTCTCTACAGATTTCAGTGAGGCAGTGATTGAAGCTGTGCGGAAGCGGCCAGGTCTGTGGGACAAGAGGTCCAAGGATTATGCGAAAAAAAAAATCTGCCAAGGAGTACGACTGGCGGATCGTGGCAGAGGAGTGCCGCTCGGAAGGTGAGGCACCTTAGCTGCTTAGCAGTATAAGAACTGCTTATTGTAACATAAGTAGAGCAAAGTGGCCAACTTGAGTAATCTGTCCCAAAATAGCATGTGCACATAATATCGATTTAATATAGCAACTGGTTAGTACAACCCCACCCCATGTATAACTATATACACAGTGGAGGTCTTGTGTCACATTGATTGAGAATCACTTTTAATATATTCGATGGCCGATTGTGCCATGATTAAATGATATATATGTATGAGAGAAATTCTGATCACTAATATTGCAATAATGCTTATTTGATGAAATTCACCAAAGTGCAAATGTAAGAGTACCTAAGCTTAAAGCTTTTGTCTTACTGCATTTTTAAGTTCTATGTTCAATTTCAAACTGTGTATTCTATGGGTGAGAACCTACATATGACCTTGGGTGAGAATGCCATTGGTTTTAGTTGAGATTCTTTGACAATTTTTCCACAGTCGATCTCGTGAAAGAAAAATGGCGTCACGTCCGAGACTATTATATCGCTCGCCGACGCAAACAACCACCGAGTGGCTCCTCAGCCAGCGCTGGTCGCCAGCTGGGCCGATACGGCCAGATCCTGAGCTTCTTGGATCCCGTGGCTCAGCGTGGACCGTACGTAAATCCAGTCCCTTTTATGCCTTTATTCCTTTAAACGCCACCCACGGCTAGTGCGGTGAGCGGTGTAAAATATAGCGTGCACCTGTGATGCTCGTTCGGGCCAGACCCACATAACGTTGATGATATTGTGTGATAATGATGTGCAGTATGTGTTTTCCTATCTGTACTGTACCTAACCTGTGCTGTGCAAGGGTGTGATATGGTGTGCTGCCCCGTTGTGCTGTACTGAGTTGTTCTGGGGTGTGGTATGTTCAGCCTCCCAAAATTATATTTCGGCTTGGGTGTCGGAGGGGAATATTCGTCACTAGAACGAGGGCTGAGAGTGGAAAAATGCCAGTCAGAAAGGCACAAAAAGAGTGGAAAACAGAGATCAACAATGTATTTGTGAATGTTGAAGGATGTGGGAGCTGCTTTATAAGATAATTGAATCGAAAATGGAGGGATGCAAAAATGGAGGGGCCCAACACTTGGCCGGTTGCCCCTGAGGTGATGTATGGTGCTTTGTCCTGTCTGTGCTGTAGTGAGCTGTGCTGTATTGATATGTGCTGTTATGAGCTGTGTTGTATTGAGATGTGCTGTCATGAGCTGTGTTGTATTGAGATGTACTGTCATGAGCTGTGTTGTATTGACACGTGCTGACTGCTGTAATGAGCTGTGCTGTATTGAGATGTGCTGTCATGAGACATGCCCTTCTGACCTGTATGACATGGGTGAGCCATGGAGTATAATGTCCCTTCCTCCGGCTTTTATCATGTAGTTATTGTGTGTTGTGTGCTGTTTCTTCTTTGACGTTCTGTCCTTGACCTGTAATACCTATCCTTCTCCTAGAACCACCTCGTCTGCTGACTTCCGCCGCCCAAACTCGGTGGGACCATCTCACCCTGCTCCTGCTCCTGTTCCTGCCGAGTCGGACCTCCTTCTGGATGATGATGGGAGTATCCCGGTTGGGAGCTACGAGGAGGTGGACGAGAACGAGACGCAGTTTTCGGCGGTCCCGATGGAACCTGGCACAGGGGGCGCACAGACCCAGGACAGCACGCCAGACACAATCAATGACGCAAGCCCAGCACCGCACACAAATCCAACACCGAGCACAAACACAACGGCCACAAATCCAGCACCGATCACAAACGCAGCACAGAACATAAACGCCACACCAAGCACCTCTCACTACAGAAACCATGCACAAGATCAGCAAACAACGCCACAGCAGTCATCGCAAACCACCAGAACACCAAAACGCAAGCTGGGCCCATCGCCTGATGTGGACCGGGCCATCATGGCGGAGCTGCAGCGGGGGCGTGAGAGGCAGATGGAACGGGAGAGGGAGCGAGATGCGGATAGTGAATACCACTTCTGCATGTACCTGTATGCAGAGTTGCGGAAGAGAAACGGCGCGGCCAGAAAGGAGATTAAGAGGCGTTTTTGCGCGGTCCTGGATGATTATGATTCAGAGTAGCTGCGTGTCGTCAGTGTGGTCCGCTTTATGCGCGACGGTGGTTAAGAGACGTTAATCGTCGTGAAATGTGCTAGTTTCTTCATAAATATGAATGAAATCAGACTTTTACGACTAGACATCGCAGTTAGTCAATTGCCTCTCGGCTACTTGTCATGCATTGTTCTTTTTTGTTGAAAACGGCTTCGATGCGCTCTTCCTTATAGACTGGACAAAAATCATAACAGCCGTGATATGTTGTCATTTTGTTTCTGTGTTTGTTATTTCGTTATCAGTTAATCTCACCTGTATTTGTGCATATGGGCGTGTGTGTCTAGACCAGGTGTGTGTATGAAGTGATTGGTTGTATATATGACGTGACATTGGGCTGGGCGTCTGTGCAATTTTCGATAGAGGAAGCGATTGTTGAAATTTTCGACTTATTCCACGTTTTAACATTGAATAAATGGTCATATCAACAACTTGTTTAGGCTTCCATAAGCAAATGGTTCCGGATGTACGAGCTGGATGACTCATATCATGGTATTGACCATATCATATCATTGACCCTTAATGTTGTAACAATATGTCTCCTAGTCAGCATTCAGGTCATGGTCTACATAGGCACGTATAAATCTAGTCAGGCGCGCGCCATACTAGATAGTTCTAGTCGGAAACACCTCATCCCTGTTAACGCGGGCTCTGATGTCACAAACATACGGAATACGAAATGCCAACGAATCAGTTTATTACGTTGCTCCAAGGCACACCACGAGAGGCGGCGCGACTCACAACGAGAGGGAGAGGCGGCGCACGCGCGGCTCACAACGAGAGGAAGAGGCGGCGCGGCTCGCAACGAGAGGCGGAACCGCTCACAACAAGCGGTGGCACGGCTCACAACGGGAGGCGGCAAGGCTCACAACGAGAGGGAGAGGCGGGGAGGCACACAACGAGAGGCGGCGCGACTCACGAGCGGCGGGCTGACCATGGCGGGACGATGCTGCTCAACATCGAAGTCCTCGCTCCCCGTGCCGGTGCTGGCGGTGCGGCGCGCCTACCGGCGGATGCTGTCCAGCTGCCAGGGGACGCTGCCGGCGCCGCTGAAGTAGCGGACGAGGCTGTTCCGCACACCGGCCGCCTGCTGAGGGTGGTTGTGAGTGGCGCCCACGTCGGTCACTTCGCGAAGGCCGCCGACCTCACCTCGCTCCTCCGGCGCCACGCAGCTGTAGCCGCCCGGCCCACCACGTGACAGCTCCTTCTCGCGCAGCACATTGTGCAGTACGCAAGTGGCCTGCACGATCAGCTTCGTGGTTGCCACGCTGCACCCGATCGGCCCACGGTACACTCGCCAACGCTGGGCCAAGATGCCGAAGGCGTTCTCGCTGGTCCGCCGGGCGCGGCTCAGGCGGTAGTTAAACACGCGCCGCTCCTCGGTTGTTAGCGCTGAGCCTGGAAAGGGTCGCATGAGGTGCTCACGGAGGGGGAACGCCTCGTCTCCCACAAGCACATGAGGCAGCGGCTCGGCGGACCCGGGAAGAGGCTGTGGCCCTGGCAGGACCTGCTCACCGCCGCTCCCCTGTGCCTCCAGCATCTGCGCCAGGTCGCACGCCCCCCACACGCCACCGTCGCTCTCCTGACCATTGGCACCCACACTTACATAGGTGAACCGATATTTCGCGTCGACCACTGCCATCAGCACAATGCTGCAGTATCCCTTATAGTTGTAGTTCATGGACCCGCTGTTGATCGGCTTCTCCATCTGAACGTGCTTCCCATCGAGCGCCCCTACGCAGTTCGGGAATTGCCATTCCCGCTCGAAGTCGAGCGCATGCTGCCGCCACTGCTCCGGCGTGGGCAGCGCCAGGACGTCCGGGCCGAGGATCTCCCATATGGCGGCGCACGTTTCGGAGACGATGGTCCGGATCGTGGCGAAGCCCAGCCGGTACGACTCCGCGACCGACTTCATGGTCCCGCCAGCCGTGAGAAAGCTGAAAGTAGACATCAATTATCAGCTGCGCGTGGCTAAAAAAATCAAGGCATATTGTGACCCTCAGTGATCTGAACTCTGTGACCTGACCTGGTGTCAGTGACCTCAAATAGCAAAATATGTGTTTGACGAACAATTCCCCATCGATGATTCGCCCGAAGGTCAGGTCAGGTCAATGACCTTTGATGACCTCGGTTCACTTTTTCGAGTTGTACATGTTTCTAGGCTAGTTTTTTTAAGCTGAATTCGAATTTAGCAACCATTTAACATTTACGAAGTAGTTTTGGTGCCTTCGTAACATGTTGCGAAGCTGTCAGAGGCAGTTGACATGTACATACTACGAATACCCGGCAGGACCCCTACTGGTTGACCTGGTTGACCCTACTGGTTTCCGCGAAGCTCGAGCTCGATCAGGGGCCAAACGGCAAGGGGTCCAACGGACCCCCCCCCCCCCCCTCCAACACACACACCTTATGCCGTATGCGTTCGCGGCCCTGGCAAAACACCAGTACGGGTGTTGTGAGACTGTGAGAGCAGCGCTGTATTGTGGGGCTGGGAGCAGCTCTGTTCCTCGGTTACCCTGATTCGTGGCGCCACCTGAGCGGTCCGCCGAGAAGCAGTCGTTAAGGGGCTAGCCGCCAGACGGCGCTGCGCTCTCTCTGCGGGGCTGTGTCGTGTGTGCGCGGTCGCGTCTGTGTGGGCTCCGTGCCTGTTTTCGCCTGAGTTTAGAAATCTACGTTTTATCCAGCCACCAATAGTTTTTAAGGCAAGCGGATCACTCGGACGAACTCAAGGCGGCAACACGGGCGAGGGTCAAAGGGCAGTCAAGATGCACCCTTAATTCACTAACCCCGCCACCCTTAATTCACTAACCCCGCTTCAGCCTTCAGGTGGTGAGAGTTGGCGTTTACTCACCGCAGTGTTGCAGCCAGACGCTCAGCAGCAGGGACGGAGTCTCGTAGGTGCGTATCTTGTTTGGCGATCACTGGTCCCACTTTAGCAAGGATTTCATCGAACTCATCGGCAGACATCCGGAAATACCGACGGTGACCTTCCGGGTCCTGCTGCCGGAGCTCTTGTACCAGAGTGTGGAACTCACCACACTGCTCCCTCCGCAGCAGGACCGGGCGAACCCACAAACTCTGCCGCTGCCTCGCGCGACGCCGGCGCAGCAACAAAACTCTCAAAAGACTTTCACGGTCCATTTATCTCTGCATTATCTATTCGAGTTAACATATAAACATCTGGCGATGAACAGTAGGTACGGAGTTGGCACAGCACATAAAATCGAAATCACGACAATGGCAAATATTGACAGCAAGTAAATAAAATAATGTCACGCGCTTCAGGATGACAAGCAAAAAACGATATAACGCAAAAACCGACAAATTGCAAAACCGATTTCACGCAAAAACCGATGTCTCGGATAAAACGCGCGTAAAAAAAAACGCGTAGTGGAGCCCGGCCTTTAGAGTTGTGACTTGTAGATGTCCTATCTCTACCAACCTCAAACCTGCATTCAGAACCCTGTGCAGATTATTGCAGATTACCTCAGAACGGTGTGAGGCTGCTTAGACTAATATGGTGCTCGAATGACCGGCTTGGACCCCCCCCCCCAACACTATCGGGTGACCTCACATGGAAAGAGGATTCTCAGATCGATTAGAAGTTCTTTTTTTTTGGGGGGGGGGGGGTATTCATGTGTTTAGGAGGTGTCTTGCAAGCTGGACCACTCTCACGAAATTATAGCCCAATTCTAGCATGCTTAGCTAATCCTAGCAATCTTAAACTGAGGGGCGCGGGAACTACTTTCCGACTGGGGGGGGGGGGGGGGGTACACCATAATAGAGATCAACCTAGGGTACCCCCAAATCTAGTTTTCTCACCGGTTTTAGGCCACTTATTTTTCACCCCTCGGCTTTTTCAACAAAAAAAAGAAAACATTTGCAAAAAAAAGTGTGGTATTCTGTCTCAAAGCTGTGGGGGCACCGCCCCTACGGCCCCAGAGTTGGGGGGCAAGCTTCCCCCACTGCCCCCCCCCCGGCGCCAGCGCCTATGTAAACGCATTCATAGTAATAACAAAATGGTAGAATAAACTCCCGTACATATAGGTCGGCGAGTGTTGAGCACTTCGTGTGTCACAACATTTTAAGGGTTCCCTACATTTGTAGATCCTAAATCCCGTAGCTTTGCGACTGTCAACACGTTCTAAATTATTCAACACATTCTGTGAATGATTTAGTTATTCTTACGCGAAAACAAGCATATTGGGGGGTACTGTACCCCCCAGGTAAATTATTGGGGGGGGGGGTCCCGACCCCCGCGTACTCCCCTGTGGCGGAGCCCCTGGGTACTTTTACTTGACTTTCCGGCATAACCTACTTTAATTCTGCACAAGATGTGGGCAGAAGCCAGGAGGCCCCCTCTGGTAGGCGACCCTTGATGGGCAGGAGGCCCCTTCTGGATGTGAGGCACCTTCTCACAAGAGGCCCTACCTGGGCAGTGGGCAGGAATCAAGAGGCCCCCCCCTGGCAGGAGATCCTTCATGGGCAGGAGGCCCCCGAGGCTCCCTCTGCACAGGAGGCCCTTACTGGGCAGGAGTCAGGAGGCCCTCTCTGGTAGGCGACCCTTGATGGGCAGGAGGCCCCTCTGGCAGGGGACCTTTTATGCACAGGAGACCCCTTCTGGATTTGAGGCACCCTCTCACAGGAGGCCCTAACTGGGCAGGAATCAAGAGGCCCCCTCTGGCAGGAGATCCTTCATGAGCAGGATGCCCCTGAGCCTCGCTCTGCACAGGAGGCCCTTTCTGGGCAGGAGGCAGGAGGCCCAATCTGGCAGGAGACCCTTCTGGATGGGAGACTCCCTTCTGCACAGAGGGCCCTGTCTGGGTGGGAACCAGGAGGCCCCCTTTGGCAAGAGATATTTTACTGGGCAGGAGGCCCCGAGGTTTCCTCTACGCAAGGGTCCTTTCTGGGCCGGAGTAAGGAGGCCCCCTCTCGCCTCTTGCAAGAGACCTTTTCTGGGTAGGAGGCCCTCTCTGGATGGGAGGCTCTCTCTGCACAAGAGGACATATCTTGGAAGCAGTCAGGAGGCCCCCTCTGCACAAAATGTCCTATCTGGGCAGGAGCCAAAAGGCCCCCTCTGGCTTTATGGGCAGGAGGCCCCGAGGCTCCCTCTGCACAGGAGGCACTTTGTGGGCTGGAGTCAGGAGGCCCCCTCTGGCAGGAGACCCTTTATTGGCAGGAGCCCCCTCTGGCAGAGGACCTTTCATGCTTAGGAAGCCCCTTCTGGAAGGGACGCTCCCTTCTGCACAGAGGTCCATATCTAGGCAGGAGCCGGGAGGCCCCATCTGGCAGGAGCTCCTTTATGGGCAGGAGACCTCGAGGCTTCCTCTGCACAGGGGCCCTTTCTGGGCAGGAGGCCCCTCTGGCCTCTGGCAACTTGCACGAGACCCTTTATGGGCAGGAGGCCCTCTCTTGGTGGGAGGCTACCTCTGCACGAGAGATTCGATGTGGGTAGGAGCCAGGAGGCCCCCTCCGGCAAGAGATCGTTAATAGACAGGACTGGGGTCCCCTTCTGAATGGGAGATTCCCTCTGCACATAGGCTCTAGCTTGGCATGAGCCAGGGGGGCCTGATTAGCAGGAGGCCCTCTACATGTAATTGGGAAGTTCCTCTACAGGACAGTGTCTCTGGACAGCAGACCCTCTCTGGATAAGAGGCTAGGCTTCAAATTAGGCTGATATTAGACTAACATGCTTCCCATCAAAACTCCTCCTGTTCAAGAACTACTGTGAAAAGGTTTTGACAGCTCTTTCTGATAAGGGAATTTTAGTTTTTTTTCCCCTAGGGTCAACAGCTTGTCATCCAGAGGGCAAAAAATTCAAAATATGACCTTTTTGGAAAACCTTTTCCGCCATCAATTTTTTACACTTGGCTTTTAGTACCTTGATTATACTGGCGTCGCATTTATTTCGTCTAGGCGCGTCAAATGATCTGTAAATTGACCTGGAAAAGAAGACTAGAATTTGACCTTACGTCAAGGTTACAGGCTATGTTGCGTATCAGTCGAGTTGTATCGTAAAAGCTGAACGCGTCTAAGGTGTTTGAATGAATCTAAGTTAACCCTCACCCTGGCAGGGCATTTTTTATAACGCGGCCTGGCAGGGAGGGGGGATTCGATGCGACCCCCGCCCTCGCAACTGGCTCCTATGGCAACTAGAAATACCAAATTTGGTAGGTAGGTAGGTGGCCCCCTTAGAATTCTCGCCCCTGTGCAAATTTGGTTGCTCTAGGTTTGGGAGGTATAAATGTAAAATTTTGCTAAAACAGGTAAAAAGTTTTTCGCTGATAACTTTTGATCTAATTAAGATAGAGCAAGACAAAAGCACCAGTGAGCTCAGCACGTCAAGGCGCGTCGAATGATATACTTTATTGCTTCCCTAAGTGTATTTTAACTTACGGGCAACTTAAGTCTTAAGAATCGTTGAAATGTTTAATGTTGCATATCATTCGACTCGGCTGTTCAAGAGGAACAGAATGATACCATTTTGAAAGCTTTATCTTTATTATGTGACAAGTTATTGGCACAAACGTCACTTGACCTCAGTTGACATAATTTGACCTGACTCTTGGATAAGTACACCAAACAAAGAAAAACCGAGTGACATAATGTTAAGTACTGTGGTATCAAAGGCTAAGCACAAAAGTGATAAAACAAAGCGGATATCTCTAGTATTTTCCGAATTGGAGTTATTTGAATATTTTCCCATAGGCTTAACATTACGACGTAATGACTAACAGACCTCAGGTCAGTGATATATAAAAACGAACTTTATGTTATACAACTTGGTGAACTTAGCACTTCCTGAAAGTTTGAAGGAAATCAGTCTAAACTGTGGGTTGGACACATACATAAAGAAAATTGAAATTTGACCGTAACCTTGTACCGGTTTTTCTGACCTAGTGGCCTGACCCAATGTCATGCGGACTTGAAATTTTCACGTCATATATATGTACAGTCCACAGCAGAAGTAATGTGCGGTTTCAGTCATGGGTAGGTATGTTCTGCTTCTGAAGCTTGGGAACGATTAGCCAGACTACAATGAATCTTTGAACGTAGCTTACATGCATCGTCACCCTTGCAGCTTGAACTTTATCTATTGACGTCTTTTTTCGAGCACTCCGGATTAAAAAACCGACAGTCAAAGCCATCCGTTGAGATCGGTAAAACCGCACATTACTTTAACGGTGGGCTGTCCAAAGGTTGCCCCATAGGCTATGCCAAATTAAGCACCTTAGGTGTGGGGATCGCATCGACCCCCTGCCAGGGCGAATGTTAATTTTTACTAATAACGCTAAGAACGTCACCAAACATACAGAGGCCCTAAAAAAGTAATCCATTTGGAGGCCCCCTCGATAGAGAAAGGCCCCCTGGCAAGCGGAATATGGAGGCCCCTTTGAGCCCGGGCCCCCTCCCCTGGAAAATCCTGGGTGCGCCCCTGAATGCGGCACTCTCCTGCCCAGTGGCTGTCGGCCGCCGCCGCTGCCCAGAACTCACCCTGTCCAGCAGGCTGTAGAGCTCATGGGGGTGCAGTTTCAGCACATCGCCCAGCTGCTGCGCAGCGGCCTTGCGCGTCAGTGACGACGATCCGTTCTCGAGGAGGACAAAGAGGCGCTCGAGCCTGCGGGCAGCCTCCGGCCGGCACAGCGTCAGCCGCAAAACACAGCGATTAATCCCATCAGTGGCAGGCTCCTGATTTAAGTAAACAGTAGAGAATGGAAAAAACGATGATATATTTTTATGGGAATTTTACGGGAATACAGGAATATTTTCCCCGCAATTTTGGAGCTAGGTTACGAGTTACGAACTATTAGCCGACTTGTCTAATAATGCCAAAATTCGAAAATATGCCTACTGATAATCCCTAGGAACCTGACCTTTAACTTGGCATAAAAAGTGACTTAAGTACTTTCTTCATACTTTTTGGTGCTCTTTGTTGAAATCACATGAAAATGTGGCGAGAAACCGCCGAAAATACAGACTGTTTGAAATCCAAAGTAAGAAACACGCACACGACAGAACTAGCATGCAAAGTCGAAGCGCTGTATCAGCTCGGTGACGGGGGAGGGTTGAGACAGACAACGGCCCGGGTGACGGGGGAGGGGTGAGACAGACATCGGCCCGGGTGGCCTACTCACCGGGTAGTCATGACTGAGGGCACAGCTCAGTGCTCAGTGCTGACACGGCGGCTGGTGTGTGTCCTGGGCCGTGCCGTCGCGCCGCACATAGCCAGTTCGGCTGACCAAGGAACAGATACTGTCAACTATATATTATATATATATAGCCTAGATATATATATATATATATATATATATATATATATATATATATATATATATATATATATATATATATATATATATATATATATATATATATATATATATATATATATTCAATTCACACTGTTTGTTGAACGTTATCGCAGCTTTGTCACACGTTAACTTCTTACTAAGAGACTCTATCGTTCTTATCGTTTTACGGTCGTCGGTGTTATGTTCGAAGATGACATTTCCAAAACTCATTATCAATACATAGTTGAATAAAATCCAAAACATGACCTTAAGTTCAACGCGTTTCGTGTATGTCTCTACACATTTTCAAGAACAGGGTCATATCGGGTCACAAAGTTGAATAACATTATTTGAATTCATAATGCTGTCTCGTGCCAGTAACATAATGGTGTTTCGACTCTAAAAATAATCATAGACGGAAAATACCATACCAGTAAAACGCCTTTTGGGCGAAGAACGAGCGAGCGAGATAGTGAGCCCTGCACGTGCAGAAGGGCGAGAGGGTACTTCCAACGGGCTTGTGCAAAGCACCCTTCTAACCGGTCGCTGGCGGTGTACCAAATTTGAACGCAATCGGCCCAGCCGTTCCTGAGATCTGGAAGCGGCATTCTGCACGTGCGCACGTGCAAATGGGGTCCAAAATGACTTTTGCACGGCACCCTACTAACCGGTCCCCAACCGTGCACCAAATTTGAGCGCGATCGGCCCAGCCGTTCTCGAGATCTGGAAACGCCCCCTGCACGTGCGCACGTGCAGTAGCACCCTAACCGCAACACATGGGAATGCATTGCCTGGTGGGTGCCTACCTGTATGCCAAGTTTCAGCGAAATCGCCCCAGTAATTACCGAGTTACTGAAATGGGAACAAATTTGGCACCTCTTATTGTTGTATTTTGCACGTGCAGTGGGGGTCACTCACATAGATGAAGAGTATCCGACCTTTGGTAGAAGGGATGCAACTACCCTATAAAAATGACCGCAAGTCAATCGCCCAAGCGGCTGCTGAGATATGAGCCTATCAAAATCACTACTTTTGCAAAACAGCTTGAACACCCTTGACTTTTCACGTGGCACGTGCCACGACGGTCACTGAGGTGTATCAAAAGTAGTCAATTACGGGGTAGAAGGGATGGGGCTACCCAGCAAAAAAGACCGCATGCCAATCGGTCCAGCGGTTGCTGAGATATAAGCCTCTCAAAAGCGTTACAGGCCGGGCCGGGCCGGGCCGGGCCGCTCATACTGAGATTTTTCCGTTATATTGAAAAGACTCACTTCGCTCGCTGCGCTCGCTCGCTCGTAATAACATGACAGATGATAAACGTACAGTCGAAATTACACTACATAGTACATATTACATATATGATTACAGTGACGAGAAAGAGCGAGAGTGAAGGGGACGAAAAGGGGCGAATTGTTGTCGGAGGACGGCCTATTTAACACAATCGGGGCCCTTCGTACAGTTGAAGCGTACCCCTAGAATTTAACTGTCTGTTCATGGTGGGGTCCTCTTCTCTGATGTAGAGCGCCTCGAGCGCCAGGAGGCGTCTCCTGTCTGGCGCCCTGTCCAAGATGGTGGTGTTCGCGACGATTTCTTTTCGCGTCAGTGCCGTGCTGTGCCTGGTATGGGTGTGAACTTGCGGTGTTCCGTTCTGCAGGTGCATTGTCAGTCGTCTTGAGAGCGTCGTGGTTGTGCAGCCGATGTACCCGCTGTTTGGAAGGAGCGCGCAGTCTCCCATTCGACAATGGTAGCGGTATACTACGTTGCATTGTTTCAGTCACGTTTCGTCTTTGGTAAGATTGTTCTTCATGATGAGAGAAGATACAGTGAGACTTTGGTAGTAGATGTTCAGCTTCAGCTGGCTTGTGGCTTCTACTGGCTTACAATTACGGCTGATGATCTTCTTCAGCGCAGCCTCATCACTTTTGTGGCCTGGTGTCATCTGGTTTTTGTAGAACAAGTTGATGGTGTTCTTCTCGGTAGTCTCTGTCGGGTTGAGATGCTTGTCGATCGCGGTTCGAATTTGTCGGTCGATGGTCGTGAGGTCGTAGTCGTTGTTGACAAGCACTTGTTTGATTCGCTCGACTTCTTGATGGAAGAGTCGCCTCGCCATGTTGAACAGTGTTTTAAGGCTGGATGAATGTACGCCCTAACAACACTATCCTTGTACCGCTGGGGACACATGCTCTTGCCATTTAGGCACCTGCCCTCATCAGTGAGCTTGCGATGCACCGAAGTGGAGTAGTGCTGGTCGTCAGCTTCAATTGTCACATCCAGGAAGTTGATGGAGTCACCGATGCTGTGTTCGATGGTGAATGTGAGGCCTGATTCCTGCTCAAGACGCTGCTTCAGGGTGTCGATATTGACCAGCTCATCAACTTCAACGAGGATGTCATCCACGTAGCGACAGTAGAGGTTGGGACGTGTTGCCTCATCGGCCAGCGCCGTCTCCTCCACCGATGCCATGAACGCCTCAGCGAACACGCCAAGTGGCGAGCCCATGGCGATGCAGTCAATTTGCAGGTACAGTTGGCCGCTGGGACATCGGAACGGTGCTTTTGTCGTGCAGAGTCTGAGCATCGCGCGCATGACATGCTCCGGAATATCAGGCGCTGCAAGGGTGGCATGGCGGTACGCGTAGCCAGCAATGATGTCAATCGTTCTCTCCATCGGCACATTGGTGAAAAGACTGCTGACATCGAGTGACGCTAGTGTGCCTTGCCTGGTCTTGTTTTTCAACAGGTCGATGAACTCAGAAGATGACTTCAATGAGTATGTCAGCGGTACGTACGGTCTCAGGATCCGATTGAGTGTCTTCGCTAGTTGGTAGGTAGGTAATGGTACCTGAGAAATGATTGGACGGAGGGGGTAGTCTTGCTTGTGTGTCTTGACATTTCCATAAAAGTAGCCCGGCTGATAGTCACCAACAATCTTGTCAATCTTGTGTTCTGTGCTCACTTTATTTGCTGCACCGATGAGGTTGTTGGCACTTCTTTTCAGCTCTTCTGTAGGATTCCTCGTTATTTTCTTGAATTTCGTCTCATCTTGTAGTATTGCGGAAACTTTCCTGTCATAGTAGGCCTTGTTCAGTATCACAAACACCTGTGACTTGTCGGCCCGTCTCACTATCACATCCTTATTGTCACGAAGCTCCCTGGCTGCATGCCTTAGGCGAGGCTCTAAGGACGGTCCGTTCTTTCCGCTCCGATCTTTTGTGCTTTCTGCTTTCAGCTGGTCTTGCAGGTCTGGATTAACCAAGATTTCGTTCTGTGTTTTCAGTTGACATATATCCTGATAGAGAATCTCAAGCTCAGCTTTCTTGTGACGTTGAGAGTATTTAGGCGCAAGGTAGAATTTTGTGCCTAAGTTGAGCAAATCCTTTTGGTCTTCAGATAGTGTTACATCTGACAGGTTTATGTATCCATCTTTCTGCTGCTGTAGCGGCGCCCAGCCTCCATATAGGTTACATAGTTTCTTCTGTACACGGCTCTCTTGGGATCGTCTGTGTAAGTCTAGCTGTACTGTTAGAGCCCCGTCGGTTCGTCTCCTAAGATCGTCATTAAGCTCAAGACTGTCATAATTACGGAGCGAGCGAAGCGAGCGTAGTCTTTCCTTAGATTAACGGAAATTTCTGAGTATGAGCGGCCGGCCGGCCGGCCGGCCGTGGTCACGCTTTTGCGAGGCTTATATCTCAGCAACCACTTGACCGATTTACATGCGGTAATTTTTGTAGGGTAGCTTCATTCCTTCTACCAAGTATTGCACTATTCCCGATGCATGTGGGTGACCCCTTATGCACGTGCCACGTGCAAAACGAAGAGGTGTCACTTTTGTAATTGTTGCAATATCTCCGTAACTACTTGGCCGATTGCGCTGAAACTTGGCATGTAGGTAGGCACCCACTAGGCAATGCATATCCATGTGCCAGAGTTGGGGTGCTGCTGCACGTGCGCACGTGCAGGGGTCGATTCCAGATCTCGAGAACGGCTGGACCGATGGCGCTCAAATTTGGTACATGGTTAGGGACCGGTTAGTAGGGTGCCGTGCAAAAGTCAGTTGGGACCCATTTTGCACGTGCGCACGTGCAGGGTGCCGCTTCCAGATCTCGAGAACGGCTGGGCCGATTGAGCTCAAATTCGGCACATCGCTAGAGACCGGTTAGTAGGGTGCCGTGCACAAGTCAACTGGAGGTACCCCCTCGAAATTTCGCACGTGCAAGGCTCACCCTCTCGCTCGCTCCGTTACTCGCCCCAAAAGGCGTTATACTGGTAGATAAGAACGATAGAGCTCTTAGTAAGAAGTTAACGTGTGCCAAAGCTGCGATAACGTTCAACAAACAGTGTGAATTGAATAACTTGCTTCCTTCTTTTACGAATATAGGTATATATATATATATATATATATATATATATATATATATATATATATATATATATATATATATATATATATATATATATATATATTGAAAAGAAATGCAACTTCGTTTTGCACCAATATTTACGAAAAAAAACACACTTCGGAGTCGATCGTATATGTGCATGTAAAACTAACAGTTTCGGGTGCCTCGCATTGGCGGATGGGCAAGTTATTAATTTGAATGAAAAGTGGCGAAAAAATGTGTTGATTTTCATTCAGTGGGAACAGTTTGTGATAAGAGTTTACAAATGCACCGCGTTTGCCGCAATGCGCCATTTGCGTCTCCGGGAGTCATTTTTTCCACAAATCGCACAACTTTGTAAAATATGGTCCGTTAAAGGTACGTACAATTTAGTGCCGGAATGCACGCTCGAACGAAAAGTAGGGGAAGCCGGGGGAAGCCCGGCATAGTAAGCTCTTTTTCATTTTTATTACATACCATACGTGCTGTATAAAATGTTGATATCCTGCTAGCTAGCTAAGTTCATTGGCCGTGTTTCCCCAAAAATTCGGTTTCGTGGAATAAGTA